ACTGTAGAAACTGCTTTTGTATGTTTGCCATTGCCAGAAAACTAAACCAGCAACTGTCTACATTCACCATGGAAATATACCTACTACAATTCACCAAGGAAAGGCCAACATAGTTCCATGTAGAAGCCCATAGCTCACACACATAGCACATAGCACAAAGCTCGGCATCTCCTCGCCGGCAGAACTGTTTCCACTTTTTCGCCAGGTTTGCGTCCGCAGGAAACGAAAAAAAAAACTTATATCGCACGCTTCCGTTTTGTTTTCACTATTACACTTTGCCACTGCACACTTCACTTTGCTTTGTAATGTCTCAATAATTGTTTAAAACCACGCAGAAATATAAACGCACAAATATTAAAATTGTTATTTGGTTTTTTCGTATACTCACAATCAACAATTGCACCAAGATAACGTCACCGCCATTCGCGATTAAACCTCGGGTGTGTCTGGACGTGTTCTGCGCAAAATTATAAACTGTGACTTTGATTTGGCGCTCGTGCACTTGTGTGTGCAGTATAACATAGCAATCTAGTTTTATATTCTTGTGTGCTACTTAGTGTAGCTAGATTGATTTTTCACCGCCATTTTGTGCTCCGCTTTTGGCGTGTAGTGGAATTTTCACTTTCGTATCAACTAAGCACCACTATTTGGAGATAAATCTTTGGGTAAGTGATTTTGCCTTTTTTGAAGCTGTGAAAATCTTTTTGTTTCGTGGATAGTGGTCTCTTAAGCCGGAAGCCTGCCTAAGACGGCAGCAAAAAAATTGAAAGCCGCTATGGCGTCGTCGACATCACTGTCGAGGGCGTCATCGGCCGAAGATTTCGAGGCTCTCTCTAGTGCCAATCTTGCCAGAGGCAAGAGGCTCAAGAGGGACAATCATGAAAAAATTGATAAACTTTTAAAGAAGCAGGATATTGAAAAAATTAAAAGTGATTTTGGTTTGGGCAGTGAAGGTAATGAAAAAGCTGACGGAAAAAGTAGTGAGGTTATATTTAAGAACATGTGTGGCAGTGACATGGCGGTTGACGTCAACGTCGACGCAGCTAACGGCAGTGCAACGGGCACTCAAGAACCGCTAATCATGACTGGTGGCGATTTCAGCGTCAGTACAGTGACGGCAAAAAGTAAATGTAATGAACCTCTTACAACTATGACAATGTACCCGGCAGATTTCTCGGGAGTTTACTTGGTTTTGGTAGATACCTCGCAATGCAATGACATAATTAACACTAGAGTTACCAATGGACTTACTCTATTTAACAAAATTAAACACCTACGTTTCAAAGATATAGAGTTTATCCGCGCGATAGGGAAAAGTTTGTATAAGGTGACTTTTAAAAACTGCGCTGCAGCTAATAATTTTCTATTAAGTACCAAGCTAAGCGATCTAGGGCTTAGGGCGTTTGTTCCGAGGTCGGCTCTTGAAACGTACGGCGTGGTAAGAGGCATTCCCACTTTTTACAATGACGACGAAATTATGGCCAATGCGGTCTCCACACGCTTCACACGTAGAGACAGTGAAAAAGGTGTGTTTACTCCCACCACAACTATTAAAGTAGGATTCTCGGGCAAGGAATTGCCCAAGTACATAATACTTGACTACACTAAACTTAATGTCGACTTCTTCATTCCCCCCTTAAAGCAGTGCTTAAACTGTGGAAGGCTTGGCCACACACAGTTCGCGTGCAAATCTAAAAAAAGGTGCACTAAATGTGGACTTGACCAATGCGAAGAAAGTTCGTGTAATAAAAAGTGCATACTGTGTGGAGGTGTCGACCACATCTCGTCCGACAAATCAAAATGCGCTACCTGGGAAAGGGAACAAAACATCAATTATGTTAGGGCTGTCAAAAAGATGTCTCGACGTGAGACTATAAAAACATATTTCGACAACAGGGAAAATCGGTTTGATTTATTAGCAACTGAGGATGTAGACTTCCCCAAACTAGTTGATGAGGAAGAGACCACTCAAGATAGGGATGTGAACATTAACAGAAGATTGACCAAGGGGAAATTTAATGTTGTAGCACGCAGAGGCAGGCAGGAGGTCTCCAATGCGTCCAAATCACCCCAAAGAAGGGTAGAACGGAAGACAAGAGCTGAGACATCGTCTGTACTTGACAAGCCCGAATACCTTAAGGGGAAGGTATCTGAGCTTGAAAGGTTAGTAACAGATATGTTCAAAATCCTCCAAACAATATGTGCAGATGAGCGGTTGAGCGGCTCACTTAAGGAAATCTCCAAGCTCAAGCAGAAGTGTGACTCAATAAAAATTCGAGAAGACTTAGAGGCAATTAGTGGCGGCCCCCCGCCACCCCCCTAATCATAACCCAATGAAAGTATTGCAATACAATTGCCAGTCATTGAAGGCTAATATTAATACAATCGAATTTTATCTAAATAACTACAATTTTGACATTGCTTGTTTAAGTGAAATTTTCACCTCTAGCGAACTAGCACATAGGAATATAACTAATTTTAATATAATAGAAAAAAATAGGGACGATGGATATGGCGGGGTGGCCATAATCCTTAATAAAAGAATTAAATTTCAAAGACTGCTTTATTCATCCGACAGTGATATACTTATAGTACAAACTAAGAATCTGGAGCCAAACCTTATCATATGTGCAGTATATTTTCCTCAGACCATTCTCATAGAGCCGTTCAAAGATGAAGTGTTTAGGCTTCTTACTTTCCTTGAAAAATTTGAAAATGTCTTGATTCTGGGAGACTTCAATGCCAGAGCTAGGGCATGGGGTGACCATGTTACCTCTTGTCGTGGTAACAACTTACACAAAATTATTTCCAACTTCAGCTTTTTTGCTCAAAATGATGGCTCGCACACCTTCAAAAGCAATGTAATGGCCACAAATGGCTCAGTACTCGATCTCTCATTCACTAACTGCAGCATGCCCTTAACATGGAAAACTGATCCAGTTACGATTGGTGGCAGCCACCACGTACCCATAATTATAGAATCCACTGCAATTCAGGTCACAGAAGTCAAATTCCTAGCTAAGTACAAACTTATAGAAAGCCGTCAACAAATCAATGTAGAACCTGACATCAATGATATTCACCACAAGCTTGAGGAAGAGGTCAGGGCTGCTACCTATACGATCTCCAAAAATAGAACACCCAAGGTATGGTGGAATGACTCACTAGCGAAACTGTTTAGATTCAAGAAGATAGCTCATAAGAAGTGTAGGACCCACCCCACCCCCGAAAACTTTCAAGCATACATCGATATTGAGGAGAAGTGGAAAGATCAGGTTAAAGAGGCAAAAAAAGAAGCTTTGAACGAAAAATTGAGGAGTTGAATGACAATCCGTCCACAAAAGAAGCCTGGAGGTTTGTGAAGGCCCTAAGGGGTGACTTCAGAAACAACAGCAAATATGCATGGTCTAATGAGAACAACCGCAACTACCTCCACTTCCTCAAGTCTCAGGTATCCAACTAAGATCAGGTGATGCCTCTCAACAAGGAGATAGTAATAGCTAACAGTTTGGCCATAACGTTTGATGAACTTCATACAGCCATTCACTCAAAAAAAGGTAACTCTGCAGGGGGTTCAGACCATATAACTTACAACATGCTGAAAGCTCTACCTGACCAAGCCATAGGTAACATTAGGACTGCCTTGAACGACGTATTCCTCACTAACCAAATACCTGAGAGATGGCGCAGCATTAACATTGTACCCATACCCAAAAAGGACAAGGATCTTAAGGACATCAAAAACTTTCGTCCCATTGCTCTCCTTCCGGTGTTCATGAAATGCATCAACAGTGTCATTAAGAAGAGGATAGGAAACCAGCTGGAAGAAAGGGCTGCACTTCCCAGGCACTCTTTCGCATACGGAGAAAAGAGGTCAGCAACAGTATGCGTCAACTATCTACTGCATGAAATTGCCTGCCACAAGAGTCGAGGGTACAAAGTCCTGATCTGTTCAACAGACATCTGCAACGCATACAATTGTGTGAAAGTTTCGAAGCTTAGAACGACGTTGATTGAGGAGGGGATTCACCGTACATATGTGGAGTGGATCACCAACTTTTTGGCGCTGAGAAGGCTGCAGTTGGGATCAGAGGCGGAGGAGATCTGCAATGGCCCACCACAGGGCAGTTGTCTCTCCCCCCTTTTATTTAATCTCTACACCAAGGGATTACATTCTATAGAAGACAGCATGACCACATTGTATCAATTTGCTGACGATTTTATCCTTTTGTCATTTCATCGTGACCCTGATCAGGCAGCCATGAACCTTCAACACAAGATAAATAGTTTTCACCTGCTATGTAACAACTTAAATCTCTCCTTCAACCCCGAAAAGACCAAGTTCCTTAATATCTGCAGAGGTAGCAAAAAGACCTTCAGCATAACGTGCCAAAATCAGTCACTGCAACAGGTGCAAAATCTAAACTTTCTAAGAAGGAATATTAGTGCATCCTTGGCTGTGAGCGAGCACTATAAAGTCACATTCAATAAATCACAAAATAACTCCTACCTTTTCAAATGTCTTACCTCTGTTAAAGCGGGTCTCCATCCCAGGGTAGCTTTGAACTACTACAAAGCCATCGTGAGAAGCAAAATAGAGTACTGTAGATCATCCATGGCAAACTGTGCGAAAACAGCCGACAAAAAGATCCAAACCTTCCAGAACAGCTTCCTACGTAGAGCTCTGGGTTTAACTCCATCAACTCCAGTACCCCTAATTTATGCTCTGGCCAATGAGCTGCCGCCATGTGAACGGGCCAAATGGCTTACGGCCAAAGAAATTATGAGCAATCTCATCTCTGACGTAACATTCAAATCATTTTTATACGACTGCCCTAGAGCAAACTCCAGCTATAGCCTTGTCTTAAACGAATTCAAACATGTCTTTGACGGCCTCAATGTAGTCTGTAGCACGATTCTGCACAATAACTTAAATATAGTAATGAAAACCCTTCCAGACAAAAAATCCAACATATCAAGCGAAAGGATTAGGTCCATTTACAACTCCTTAGTACATGATTATAAACGTGATAATTTTAAAATTTTTTTCACAGACGCATCAGTGGGCGATTCCTCCACTGGCATAGCTATATATAATCACTCGAACAATACAGAGCATGCACACAAACTGCCCTTCCAAGCTTCCTCCTCGTTTGGAGAATCGCTGGCGATTCTAAGAGCACTGGAAATAGCGAAGGAGTTGAAATATGACAAAATTGTTATCTTCACAGACAGCCTCATTGCCTGCCAATTGCTGATGAAGGGAAAAACCCATAACCACATTATTTTAGCGATATACAACCTGGCTACCAATGAAGACTTTGATAATGTCACTATAAATTGGACCCCAAGCCACAAAGGCATAGCAGGCAATGAAAGAGCTGACAC